CCACGCTTCTCTTAACTGAAGCTGGGTGGGAACTAAATAGGTTTTTCAATCACTTGAGTTTATCCTGAGATTAGAGACTGAAATATTTCTTCAACTCTCACCCTGTGCTGCACTCTCCTCCCTTCGTGTTTTGTACCTTCGTTTTTTCTTCTCTGTTTTATTGCAGCATCTTGTTATTGGGGGGCTTTTTAAAATTCTCTTTCTGTGCCTCACTCCCTCCTGTTACTTCTGAATCCTCATCCTCAGCTGTCACGCCACTTGACAATTAGCCATGCTGTTCCTGTCTGTGCACTGCTAAAAACTTTTTCCTCCTTTTGAAGAACTTCTGAGTTCAGCTTAGGACCTTCTGCGCTTACATATGTGAGAGGACTCGAATAAATGGAAATGAAATGTAAACTTGTGGCTATGATCAATTCCCAGATGGGGAGAAAGTGTACTGTGATGGATTTCATATTCGCTGCAAGTCAGGCTTTGTTCTACCAGCAGCAGAAACGTATTGCATAAGTTTTCCCTCCAGCCATGTGTGCCCCGTTCTTGATACTATGAGTGAGGTCACAGTGAAGTTAAGAAAATCTCTGAGGGAAGGAAGAAAGGAGCTTGTTTTAGGATGTACCACTCAACATGTGACTGCCCATTGAGACGTTAGTGGGAGAGTTTTTGCTGCTCTTATCAATTTTTACATTTTCTACGGTTTCAAAAGTTTTTAAAGTGATCACATTGTATCAACAGCTGCATTCACGTTATAGCTGCTTGTGCTTTAAATGGAGTTCAGTCTTTGAGATTAATTGAGCAGAACTTTTGGTGAACAGAATAAAGACGCAAACACATTTAATCCAAAGGAAAAAAAAAGAGTTCTGCGTGTTGACAGTAGGGATGATCCGATCACATGATCAGAGATCAGGCCTGATCATGTGATTTTTAAAAGGATCGAGATCGGGAGAAAAAGATCAGATGTAACCTTTTAAAACAACACACACGACTTTTTTAATTCATCCTGAGATGTATTTTAAATGGCTTAGATTTTATTTCAGTGAGTTCCTCTATATCAATAGTCTTTGTTTCTTGTACGAAAACAACCCCGCATGTCACACAATTTATGGCAGGCAGGTATTCAGACACCAATGTGCAGCTGTTAGCTAGCAGGCTAATGCAGAGCTAACGTGTCTCCTCAGGAGAGAAATTGCCATCAAACTACAAAACTTTGTGTTGTTTCCTGCTTCACCCAAGCCGTGTGGCAGATACAGGTGTTGTGCCAGAAAACGTTTGGCCCGTGTGCCTGCTCCGATACGGGAACACACATACTCCTGTATATTGAGGGAGTAAAACATTTGAAATAGGAGCAACACTGATACTTCTAAATATATCCATAATATAAACAAGTTTTTAAATCAGTGTTCTTCCCGAACAAGTGAACATGAAACTTAAAGGACAACTTGGATGCGTTTTCTTCTTTCCTGAAAAGTATCGGCAGTTCGCTCAAAATCAAACGACTCAGACTCAGATTGGAAGCCAAAAACCGTGTTTGGAACTCCATTATTTGATTCTTTTCCGAACACAGCGTAATAACGAATTGATATTTACTTTCTTGCTGACCAGTTTCTTCAGAGCATTGCTAATGTTGGTGGCGTCACTTCTGTCAGAGTACGTCATTGCCCTCTAAGAATGTTTTTAAAGGTAAACAACAAATCTTTATTACTCTGTGGCCAGAAAATAACCAAATAATGGAATTGGATAACCAACACAGAACAAATTTAAGATAAATGTGAGTGGAGCTTTCCTACAGCTGATTATTCCAGTTTCTGTTTGGGTTTATAATATAGAAAAGTAGCAGCAGATTGATGTTTTGGACCCAGCATTCATAATAAACCCAGAATTTCCACCCGAATGAACTATTTCATATCATTTGTGAGTGACCGGAGCTCATAAATACTGAATTCAGGATAAAAACATGCTCATTTGATTAGGAGATGGGTGTGTGGATGAGCACAGCGGGTCAGACACCAACAGGCTACTCTTCAGTGTTTGATGAAAGGATGAGAGGGACTTTGAACCTGTTTGAAAAATGAATCACACTTTGCCAAGACATCAGCAGCATTCAGCACTTCTCTAAATGGGCAGCTGGCAGGCACGGCGCTTGTTGAGTTGCTAAATACTCCCAGCAACATATGAATGGGAAGCCTGATTAGTTTGTCACTGATGATTTGTTGGCTTGTTCGTGCACTAGGCCAGAGCAAATACCACCACGGACGAGCCTTCCTGTCTGTCATTGCATCACACCTTCATATAGCTCTTCTTTTTATCATCACCATCACTACAAGCATGTCAAGATCACTTTTGGCTGTATTTGCAGTTACTCCAAAGCAGTATTTTTCATGCTTTCATATGTGAATTAGGACACTTACCAATAAACAAACATGCAGGATATTACCTCTTCTGTCTGCAGCAGCAGATCTGTCTCCTTTCTGATTGCCTCTCTGGTGCACTGAGCAGATTTGTGACAAACCCTCACAACCAAAGAATGTAATTTGAAGATTGGAGTGGAACGTGATTAGGGTAAAATGGGAGAAGCATTCAGTGAAAGAGAGCATCTCAGAGATGGCATTGTCATGTAACAAAACATCTAAGAGGGGAAAAAAAAACAGTCTGCTTTAATTGTGCAAAGCCAGCGTGAAAGATGCTGCAGCAACCATAAACTACACAAGCATACACACATAAATTCATCTGCAGGAACACTAACAAATGCACACTTAAAGATAGCACTCTGCTTGTGAATATGAGCTAAATCAAATAGAGAAGCTGAGACTCCTCAGCTTGTTTATATGCAGATTCACTGATGGTGGGGAGATGAAAAATAACAATGCATGGAAAAATGTGCTATTTTTATCTTCAGGCCAATATAATGTGAAATACACAAAGCTGTTTGCTCTTCACAGAGGCTTATTCTTACATTGATGGCTGCTCTATGCAGTCATGACTATAAGGACTTCAAAATAAATGATCTCAGATTGCTAATATGCACACTGTTGTTGCATGTTGTGGATGCATTTGGATCAAAAACGGTCATGCAACATAAAAAGCACACTTTGCATTTTTTTCATATTTTAAAATCACTTTATTGAGCCAGAATGTGCTAAAATGACTCTTTTCAGCATTAATGAAATGTCACTCAAACCCCCACCGCCGTCTGTGGCTAAAATTCCGCACTTGCAACTTCCGCGTGTCGTTCCAGTTTCTGTTGGACTTAACCCTAATTTATGCTTCTCCATGAGCGCTACAAGCGAGAGATGCACACGTATTGATGGAGACGTTTCACCTTCGGACTTCTCCGTCACTTGGGAGTGTTGCAAAGCTATTTCCTGCCAGGACAACAGAGGGCGTAGCGCTTTTCTGGTGTATCCTGTCGGGTATCCGGTCCATGAAAGCGCATCTACTAATATGTTTATATTCTGTTTTTTGTATTTCAGAGAATTTTTAAAACGGACAAATTTGTTACTCATTCTCCACCACCTCCTCATACAATCGCCACCTCTAGACCCATGATTACCGTCAAGACGGTCCATGAATAAAATGCTTGCAGCATATCTTTATATTCCTCCAGTCACGAGTGAATAAAACATTCATATTTTCTGCATGGTATTCTTCAAGCGGCTAAGTGTCTGCCACTAGACTTCTTCAAGTGGCGTAACCACGGATAATGGCATTGCGTAGCATAAATTAGGCTTTAGTAAAGTGGAGCTGACATGCCTCAACCAGCATGTTTCCTGCCTGTTTTAGATCATGAACACAGCTGATTTGTTTGATTAAGTGATGAACCGTTCCGTAGAAACTAATGAAGTTTGAGGAGACATTGCAGCAGTTGGATTAAGGTGGTAAAAAAACCAAGAAGCAAGCCCTAACGTATCCCTTTAAGAGCCTGCCTAGTCTTTTAGCAGTAGGTAGATGTTCTCACTCACATCCAGCAACATTTTGTTTTCCTACCTTTTGTGTTTTTGTGGCAGCACTAATCAACCTTTCTGTTCAGGTCCATTTGTCCCCCAAAAGAAACTGGAGAGTTTCTGTTCACACTATAATCCAACATCAGACCCCAAACTTTACAGACTCAGTAATGAGTGCTGTGTGTTAGACTCACATAATGCAATTCTGGGAAGAGTTTTCACCATCTGGATAAAGACTTATGACAGCAAATAACCTGCGTTGAAATGGAACCGTTGCTTGTTGTGGAGGCCAAACTTGCTGCTCCAGGACCTTCCACGCCACATAAATAATCTAAATGTCTGTATTTTGAGATTAGCCTCTTTGTGTGTACTAGGCCTGCACAATATATCGCAAATATGCCGTTATCACGATATCAGCATGCACAAAATGCATATAGCAAGGAACAGATAAATATCACAATGTTTGCTACACATAACGCATTCTGTCAATCAAACGGAAGCATGATATTTATTTAACAAATCAAATGGAGCTCTTCACACATTTGGCCATATGGATGGGTTCTCATAGGTTAGATGCCCGGCCCGCCCCCGAGGCGATGGCACTTAATTTTGATGGTTAGCAAACACCTGAGTTAGCTTTGTTCTGCTCTTTCTGCTGATTCTGCTTTTCCCGGGATCCACTGATTGCCTCTTCTTGTTCATTGTCGTTTCCCCTTTCCTCACATCTTTTACTTTTCTTATTTTTTATGATATTTGAGTCATTTTTAAAATTTTTTTTGTTTTTGATTATTTTTATTCCTGAGTAAAGTTTTTATTTGTGGCACTGGCAAGTAATATCGTCATCGCAATATTAATCACTGTTACCGCATATCGCAGGTTTTCCTAATATCGTGCAGCCCTACATTACTGTAGTTTTATGCTTAAAATTATTTCTCAACAGCAAATCAGCTGAGTAAAATTATATCACATGTACAAACTCAGGTTCTGCCCTGATAAAGACTCACACCTCTATTAGAACATTGCTGTATGGACACAATATAAATATTTGATTTTCTTTACCCTCAGCTGGTTGCAGTATATGAAGAACAGGATCCACACAATGGAGGTGATGGTACCAGCGCCAGCTCCACAGGAACTCAGAGTCCAGACCCGTTTGCTAATGGAATGAGTTCAGCAACGACCTTCCCGCCCTACCAGAACACCAGTGAAATCGTGGTTACTCCATCCACTCTGCTCTCTAGTAAGTCTTATCATAACAAAGTCTTTAAATCAATCCCCTTTAATGCTTATTTGTAAAGAGTGTTAGCAAATCTGTACTATTTTTGCTGTAAACCCTTATTATAAATTAAATATTTAAATATTCAAACGACCAACTAGATATTTGGTCAAATAGCAATTTGCATGAGGACTTTTGGTTTCACAGGGCCTACGTCTACTCTTATGCCAGCTCTTATCATTGTGTAAGTCTGCTAAATTATGTTTTCAGTATAAAAGCATTGCCTGTTCTGAACATTTCTGTTGGAATTGGTATCTTGCTGAGCTGCAACTGGTTTCAAAATGTCTTCAAACATTCACTAGGGTTCTCGCACTTGTTTAAAGCTGCAGGACCTTGTTGTCATGTCTCTTGGATGTTAAACCAATGCAAGAAAATCTCTCAAAGTCTATTATCTACTTCTAATATAGACGTCGTTTGCCGAAGTAACATTTACGGTAGGCAATGTGGCTGGCCAATCACAGCGCTCTAATGTAATATTTAGACTTGGGCTTTTCTTTGACTCAAGAGCAGACAGAGGTACTTAAGTTTATGTGGAAAAAGGACATGTTTGCATCTTTGATGGAGTATGGCGGACTGCCTCATTGATCAACATCCGTAGTGACGTCGTTGGTCATCCAATAGCATGCAGAGACAATTTGAAAAACATCTGTAGATCCCTCCACACGACTGAGAGCCATCCATGGATGTCATTTACGTATTATGACCGGTTCATTCATAAAACTTGTTGCAGACGGAAAAGTTACACGTTTCAGTTGGAAAAAGCCTGACTTTCTCCGTTAATAAACATTCATGTGAGTGGCTCAAACCTGCAAAGTATTTCCATTATTAGTAGTTATTTTAAAGATTGGCAAAGTAGAGGTCAAGGAACAATTCTGAGACTAGAATTCTTGAAAAGGGAAATGAAATAGTTGCTTTTTAGCAGCTTTTGGAGTGGTACTGCATTTTAATTTTGTGCACTCGTACCTGAATAAACAAGAACTTCCAACTGGAATGAACAGAGGAAAACATGTCTTTGCATGTCAACACAAAATTCAGCATCAAAAGAGAGAGGGTGTTTTTTGACCTGTTACAACACAGGAGCAGGTGAGACAATCAAACCCATTAAACACTCCATTGTGTTAGAGCTGTAGCGAGGTAAGGGAAGCAGGCAGATGGATGAGGAAGAGGAAACCAAAGCACTCCAGAGCAAGGAATTCAATGTAAACAAACAAACAAATAAATAAATAAAAGATACAGCAACATGTCGTGACTGCAGAGTAACAAAACCCATCATCACAGCTGTGTAGGTGGAAGGTGTTAATGAGTGACACTGGCAGGCAGATATTTCCTGGAAGAACTAAATTAAATTTTTAATTTTACTCAAAATCAAATATTGAGGAGGTGGCTAAAGTGATAAATGATGAACTGATTAAAATTAAAAACTGGTTTGATATAAATAGATTGACACTGAATCTTAATAAAACAAATTTTATACTGTTAAATGATAAAAAGAACAGTGATGTGTCATTGGAAATAGATGGGATTGCAATTCAAAGAGCAAAAGAAACTCAATTTCTTGGAGTTCTTATTGATGAAGACTTGACATGGAAATCCCATATTAGTTACATAAAAGGTAAAATCGCCAAATCCTTAGGAGTATTACATCGAGTCAAGTTTTTACTGTCTAATTCTGGTTTGCTGGCATTGTGCAATTCACTGATTGTTCCATACCTGAATTATTGTGTAGAAATCTGGGGAGCAACATACAAAAACTATACACAACCCGTATTTATTTTACATAAAAGAGCTCTGAGAATCATCAATTGCAGGGGCTGTAGAGATCCATCGAACCCATTGTTTATTAAATATAAATTACTGAAATTTCATGATTTAAAAGACTGGAAAATCATACAAACCACGTATAAAGCCAGTTTAGGTGCTCTGCCAACAAACATTCAGGGGATATTTGAAAAGAGAACTAGTAATTACATGCTGAAAGAAACTGATGTGTTGACAAAACCTAGATTTAGAACTAAAATTAAGGAATGCAATATATCTATAAATGGTGTTAAATTATGGAATAACCTTAAAAGGGAAATAAAAAAAAACCTGTCATTTAATATATTCAAAAAATTTACCAAATTGAGTGTATTAAATAATTATGAAAATGTAAATTAAATCAATGATCATGATCGCACTGGAATTTAGAACAGGAAAAAGTTTAAAATGAATCTGTGTGTGTATTACAAATGGAAATTGTAAATAAATTGATTATTTCTTCTGGAAAAGGGGGCAGAAATTATAAGATGTTTTTCTTCATTCTGCTCCTTTTCGTTCAAATTAGATTTTTTTGGTATGTTTTTCTTATTGTTTATATGTTTTATTTGTTTTTATTTAGAATGAAATAAAAAAGAAAAAAATCAGGCAGTGCCACTTCGTTAACAAAGTACAGGTGAAAAACAAGCATACTAATAAATGGAATATAAATTGACAAAGTGCGATCAAAACAACAAATTTCCTAAGTCATCTGTGGCCCTGTTAGTCATTTTCACCAGCTTCTAACGGCATTATTTTTAGGTAACAGAGTAATGTATTTAATTACTTTTCCCCTCATTACTGGGCATGTAAATCAGTGCGTTACTACAATGTGGTTGAATGAAGCACAGTGTTGTCACGCTCTCTGAGAGCCACATTAGTGACGTGTCGATCACACACAACATCGGAGCTGGCTTCTTCTTGGAGGAGCTGGAGTGAGTGACACAAGATGTACCCATTAGGGGTTGCATCAACTAGTCGACTAGTCGACTTCACATGATAATGACTGACAAGATGCAGTCCTCGGAAAAGACAGCAGGGGACGAGCCCCTGCGCGTCGGGAGGCGACGCGCTGTGCCAGAGCGTCGGTATCTGACCAAATTGTGACCTTTACCCTCTTGCAATCTAACCTTCCCCTCACCCCCATCCTAACCTTAACCAGCTTGCGCATGCAAAGCTCCGATCTTTAACGCGATCCAGACATCTGCGTCCTGAGCACGGCCACAGTAACATTACCAAATTAGGTGACGCCACCTCAAAAATAAATTTAACACGCAATCGTTCATGTCTTCTAATTTCCTTTTATGTTTTCTGTCTTTTATTTGTGCCTGATGCGTTTCGCTGCTGTGGAGTGGAGCGCATCACCTGTTTTGTCCTCCGGTGCTGGACCTCACTGGTGCGGCCAGCGCGCACTCCGCTGTTTTTGCAGTCGGTAGATCTTTTAGAACTGCAGTTCAAAGGTAACTCATAAGCAGTGTTGGGAGTAATGCGGTACAAAAGTAATTAATTACTGTAATGCATTGCTTTTTGCTGTAATGTGGTAATGTAAGGCATTACAGGGAAAGAAAATGGTAATATTTACTCGGTACAATTGTCAGTAACGCGGTAATTACAATGCATTTTTAAACCTAGAATCAAGATGTGGGTTTCCTAAAAATTCAAATAGTGGGAAGCCCGAAAAAAGATATGACGTCATTTATGGACTCAGCTTTGCGGGCATTCTATGAGCAGAGAGGACGCTGCGGTAATGGCTCAAATACTCCAGCTGCGTCCTGCGCGCGGCGGCTCTCATATTCACAAAAACGCTCCACCAAAACAAAGTAATTTGTTTGCGATCATTTATATCAGCCCATATTCTCTGGTACTTCATGTACTTTTCAGCTGAGTTCATAATCTGTGCCCCGGTGATTTCAAGTCATTGCTGCTGGTTCGGTAGATCCCTTTGTCTGATTGGTTAGAAAGTAGGAAATCTAAGAAACAGTTTTTCTGGAAGATGGAGAAAACATGCAGCATGCAGGAAGGTTAGAGAGAGAAAGGGCAGGAAATTATTCAAATAAAATCAAGAAAAAAAAGGAAAAAAGTAGCTAGATTTATCCCCAATACACATGTTTACCAGTGAAAAGCAATAATAAATAAGCATTTAATATTTTACATGTGATAGAATCAGATCACCCCCAAGAAGTCAGTCCCACATCCAGGGCCGTATCCAGACATTTGGGGACCAAGGCAAATATAGGCTTGGAGCCCCCACCAGCTCAGTCCCTGCTCAGATGGCCCTATAAGATGGCAGCGTGCTGAGAGTACATATTGTTGTTGCTTTTATTTAATAAACAATCATTTTAAAGCACTGTTATTATATCTGACTGTTTTTAACAGCAATCCTAGCTCAGACACCACTTCACTTTCCGCATATATGTCATGAGCTCACTGATCATCAGATTACCAGATTCATATTGAAGTTGTTTTGGTGAAAGTAACTTAAAGTAATGCAAAAGTAGTGTAATTTCTTACATTTTAAAATCAGTAATATTGTAATGTAATGAATTACTTTAAAATGAGGGTAACAAGTAATAAATAATGCATTACAGTTTTGAAGTAACTTGCCCAACACTTCTCATAAGGTGAATATATATGTATGAACCCAGGTAGCAGTTTTTCTTTAGGATTGAGAGGAGATGCAGGAAGATAATAAACAGACAGGACAGAAAAATAGTCAAATAAAAACAAGTTTGCTTTTGTACCTGGTGGTTGCAACAAACAGACACCATTGAAGGTAATCAGATGTGAGGAACAGAAAATGAAATAATTATTTTATTGTTTAGAGCAACAGGAACTCTGAGAGGCTGCAGGTGCATCAGTGAGTTTGCGGCCGCTGCACAGGGGGAGGGAGGAGAGCTGAAGCAGAAACTACCGTTGTTTAGATGTGTTTCACGTAGAAAATGTGGGTGCTATTTTAATTGGCAAAAACTCTAGCGAACCAAAATAAAAATCGACATTAACAGTTGTTACTAGTAGAATTTACAATGAAGGATATTCTTAACAAGTGCATTGGTAGTAATTATGTTTGAGATATCTCAGAATCCCTAAATACCTAATATGGCCTTTCTAACGTTTATTAGGCAGACTGGATATGTATTCCAGATATCTATAATTCTATTGTTCCTAGTAGA